ATGCGATATTTGTATTTATTATACCTGGGACGATTTGAATTATAAAGACCTGTGATAGAATGCCGAAAAATATTTTTTTCGATATCTGATGGTAATCCATGTGTAAATATTTGGATTGTGATAAAGTAGAAATCAAAATTGTGAAAAGTTTTCAGGGGTTCAATGCTGACTCTCTCTGTGATAAAATTAAGCTCAAATTTCTCGGGGTCTTCGATCAGTATTTCGACGCAACTTCTAGCGTATTAGAATGAGATGAATGTCTAATAATAAACTAATTAAATCAATAACCGTCAACTGCATACTTTACTTTATCTTATTTTATGATATCTTACTCGTTTCCTAAAGTAAGAGATACTTCATTGTACTTTAGTTTACTTTACTTTATTAAAGTAAAATAAATTTAAAGTGCCACCCCTATTCCTGAAATAGTTAAAATTATCACAAAAACCGTATAAAAAGAAATTTATCAAAAAGCAACTAAAAAAGGGGCATTTTCGCTTTTTTGTGATACATTTAATTTTTTCAAGAAAGGTTGTAGAAAATGTGATGGTCAATAATTTTCTTCCGAATTTTGTGCCTTTTCAAATAGCATTGTTAAAAAATAGCACTGGCAAAGTCTTCTAGCATCTGAACATACGTGGTACCGATCGGGATTTTTTTCGATCGGAATGGACCGGCCGGTTGAAACTCTTGACTCAATCGGCAAAAAACTAATGTATTTAGTGTATAAATGAACAATCAATTTGTTTCAAGAGACAATCTATTACTTCAGTTTTATGAAGACGTTCAATGTAAAACTCATATGACTCTTGAAATTTCTCATAGTAACAACTCCTATCTTAGTCTGTTACGTTTCATATATGCTAGCATTATGAATGAAAAAAGACTTCTTTCGAAACGTTTCGTCTAGTATATCACAGCAACTAATATTGAACAATATTATACTATGACTTGGCTGACTCTTTTCAATAATGATATGATTTCTTTACAATTGATAAGTTTGATCTATTCTTGTTTGAAATAGTTATTTAACACAGTTGAAAGGCATCTCTATTGGCAGTTGGAGATTGACAGATTCATGTCTCTGGATTATTAAAATCCTGAAAGCCGTTAAAAACGAGCAAATTAGATCAGCTTTAGTGCTCTAAAAAATCACTGAAAAAAAACAGTTGGTTTCAAAAGCTCAACCGAACTGTATCGATAACCAGCAAACCGGCCAATCCAGTTGCAAATATGGAGTTGATCATAATTATGATAATTTTGGCGATACTTATACATAGTCAGAACTCGAAGAGCTTGTTTTCGAATGTTGTAATTCGTTAAAAGACTAAACAAAATCATGAATAATGGCATTAGATTGATAATAAAATGGTCAATTTCTTGAGCCCAGATGCAACTCGAGCGATTTTTTCCAAATGATATTAGGATTTATGCTGTTCAATAAAACATTGATTACGATATTTTTTTGAAAATGACATTCTGTTATCGGATATCATCGTAAGAACATTTCGGATTGTAACTTTGTATAAAAATTTCCGAAACTAACAAGAAATATGTTCTTGTTTTTAGTGAAAACTTATTAAAATTCATGAATATCTTTAACTCTTAGAAAAATGGTAGATATTAATCAAAATCGTAGGTTCTAAAGATTGTGACCGTGCTCAAACCTTTGATCAGTGTTTCCGATGAGGAAGAGTTGATGAGAGCAGAGATGTCCACAGAAATTTCATTTAAGAAAAGAAATTGAGAATTTTGAAGAAGAGGCAACTACAAAAAAAATTCTTTTTGGCTTCTAACAACTGGTTAACCAGTATGTCTCTCTACGTATTTAAAAGAGTAATCATGAGACCATCGAATATACGAGGGATTCGATAAAAAAGAATTTCGTTCGTTTTTGTGCATTCAATGTCTCAAACCAACAAACCCAAAATTTTAGCATCCAATACTCTTTCTTTCCAAAGTTAGTCGATATCAACTTTTCTCACTATCATATCCTTATGAGAAAAAAAAACATCAACAAATACTCTGTAAAAAAGTTGTACTAGTTGTTATTTCAATGAATCATTCAAATATTTTATAAATTATACTAAAAGATGAAGAATTAAAAACTGAACTAAATGAGCTATTTTAATGTAATAGAGTATTGATCAATCCAAGTTTTATAAGGTCAACATGAATGAAAAATAGTTCTTTTAACAAGTCTAAAATGTCCATTTGATAACAATCGATCTCCTATCAAAATTCAGAATCGAAGAGTTCTAAGGTGAATTTAAATATATATGTTATATAACTTTTTATTCTTTACAAAATGGTACCTTCGAGGTGAAACTGGGTTCACATCTCTCTTTTACATAATGATTTGTGATGACTTTTCAATGAAACAAGGCATGTTTAGCAATTTTCATTGTCATGGCACAATTGTAAAGCAAAATAAATGCGACATTTGTAATCAGCGTGAAAAACTGCATTGAATCAAACATCTTTTATAGAAATTTTTTCCTGTGAAAAATTCATTTGTGATCTTCGACGGCTGTATATCATTAAAATTTTGTCCCATAGTCGTCCAGGAGCCAATTTTTTACAGGAAAAAATTTCTATAAAAGGTGTTTGATTCAATGCAACTTTTGAGGCTAATTGCGAATGTGCATTTATTTTGTTTTACAATTGTGTCATGACAATGAAAATCATCACAAATCATTATGTAAGAGAGAGCGAGAGAGATGTGAACCCAGTTTCGCCCCGAAGGTACCATTTAGTTTTTGAATATTTTTTTTACCATTTGGTAGGGAATAAAAGGTTACATACCATACTATATATTTATATGCACCTTAGAACTCTTCGATTCTGAATTTTGATAGGAGATCGATTGTTATCAGGTGGACATTTTAGAATTGTTAAAAGAACTATTCTTCATTCATGTTAACCTTATAAAACTTGGATTGATCAATACTCTATTACATTGAAATAGCTCATTTTATTCAGTTTTTAATTCTTTATCTTTTAGTATAATTTATAAAATATTTGAATGATTCATTGAAATAACAACTAGTACAACTTTTTTACAGAGTATTTGTTGATGTTTTTTTTTTCTCATAAGGATATGATAGTGAGAAAAGTTGATATCGACTAACTTTGGAAAGAAAGAGTATTGGATGCTAAAATTTTGGGTTTGTTCGTTTGAGACATTGAATACACAAAAACGAACGAAATTCTTTTTTATCGAATCCCTCGTATATTCGATGGTGTCATGATTACTCTCTTGAATACTTTTGAAGAGATTGATTCTCCTATTCCTCTCTCTGAGAACGCATCTTGTGAGAGAAGGTTACGGCAAAATTTTTGACTTTCTTTCATCAAGCACTTTTTGACAAAAAAAATCTGAAAACAATTTTTTCGCTAGCATTTTGTGCAAAAAACTTAGTGTTCGGATTGCCTGCGAAAACTTAGTCTCTCTCGCCGCTGAAAACAATCGAATAGACTCTTGTGATACCAGCCATATCAGCTGTTTTCTCTTAATTTACGAGTTTTGATTATTCAATAACGATAACGTCATAAAAATAGTCTTTAATCAGAGAAAGTAATTACGGAAAACCCGTGGCACTATATCTAACATTTAACATAATAATGTGCTGTGATATGTGGAAATCGTCTTTTGATTTTAATAGAAATCGACGAGTTTCGGAAAACTAGTGCTAATTTAATAAAAAGCAGGAAATAATTTGTAAAAGAAGAGTAAATGATGCTTTTTTAAGAACTAGAGTCAAACCGTTGATTTGATAGAAAACAATTGACATGAGTACGTATTCGATAATATTGAAAAATTTTCATTTGAACACTCATAGGGTTAAAAAATTTGCATATCTTTCATAAATTCTATATCAAAAAAACGATAACAAAATGCATTTTGGTTGATAAAAATAGACAAAAATGGATGTTTCCAATTTTATTGTTTAAAACAGATTCTTTAATTAAGCGAATTCAATGGAAATAATTTTCAATTCAAATTATGGAATTAAATTGGTGAAAGCATCTGTTTTAAGATTTGTTTCATCATTTTACTACAATCATTTTGATTTTTTAACTACATAGACAAGTTAAAACCACCCATCACTCAAAAATCGATCATGTATCAAGTAAATTTAAAACACATGAAATTTTCAGGATATATTAGAACTATAGTGGAGAGGCTATAATAATATTTTCAGCCCTATATCATGATGTTTTCGCGAATTATTCAACAAACAAGACTCAAAAATAGCTTATTTGGCAACTTAAAATTGTCTGTAGATCTTCGCATTCTATATACTTAAGTTTTTTGTTTGAAAGAGCATGTTAGGATGTAGGGTCTAGCAGAGCCCTTTTTTAAATTTATACTTTTCAAGGAGAGAAAAAAAAATGGCACTGTAATTACAGAGAGCCTCTTTTGTATAATAGTAACAAAGCTTAATCCAAGAATCGACCTCTTTTATACCCTGCATCTTGACATGCTCTTTCAAACAAAAAAAACAAAAGGCATTGGCCATAATGATGTTTCTTCAAGAAATCTAGAATGCACGATCAAAAAAAAACATGAACAAGGGAAAAATAAAAAAGATTTTGCACTTTATCTGAAAAAACCATGTCATTTTAAAAAGATCAGATGTCGTGTTATCTGCTCATACATTTATCTTGATTTTCACATTTGGGAGGGAGAGAGAGGGCGAAGAACTTAACATTTCGTTTGCTTTCTTCATCTTTAAATCGTTAACAATGAACTGATCAAGAAAGAAAAGATTTTTACGTTACAATTTTCTTGATATTCACAACAAGAAATATTCTGATAATAAAGAAACTTTAAATAGATAATCTATACATCTTTCTAATTGTATCGTTTGTTTTTTTTTCTCCTTTGTATTTCCAAAATATCAAACAAATAATCATAAAACAATATTAAATAAACAAATATTGTTGTTTTTTTAGTAAAATACTTTAAAAATATACAAATAAAAATAATGATATATTTAAATACTAAAAAGTAATTGCCATTGTGGTGATTGAGGACGTGGTGATTGAGGACGTGGTGATTGAGGACGTGGTTCTTGTTTTATATGTGCATCATTATAATGAACAGGTACATTTTGATGTATTTGTCGATTACGTTCAACTTGTTTTAATGTTGACATGGTTTTTTGAGTAAGTTTTTCTTGAAAAGAAATAATCTGTTGATGTTGTATTTCAAGTTGTTCTTTATATAATTCAAGATTTTTAACTTTTAATAATAAACCTTGTTCTTCAGATTCTAATTCTCTAATTTCTTTTTCTAATTGTCGTTCAATAAATTCTCGTTTTTCTTTTAATTTTCTTGCTGCTTCACGATTTCTTTTACGTCGTAATTCACGTTTTATAGCTGCATCACCGTCAAGTTTGGTAAATTTTGAACGACGTCCAGTTGCTAATGTTGGTGCAGCAGATGGACGAACAGTTACATTTATAGGACCATATTTTAGAATTCTAGGAGGTTTTGCTATAAAACACTGACTATCATTTGATTTATTATTATCATCATCATCACTAATATTTACATTCGATGATAAGTTTTTATGTATATCTTGTTTATGAATCGTCATAATAGAGTAACTACATTCATCTGGTGATTCTTCATATGACATTTCACTTGTATTGTTTGGTGTAGATGGTGAAGGAAGAGAAGGTAATGAACCAACAACACCCATTGCTATATAGTAACGAAGAGTTAATAATACTCGATAGACCGTGCGTTGAAAAAGAAAAAAAACCTAGAAAACAAACATACACCACTTAGTGAATATAGTCAGTAATTGAAGAGAACGAAAAAGCTGATAGCAAAAAATTTATTCTTTTTCTTTACAAATCGTATTCATTCGACTGTAGCGATGTACTAAGGAAAAGAACGCGCAAAGGTTTGATATATTAAACATCATAATCGCATATGCAACGTGGCAAGGAAAAAAAAGGTGAATCCACTGATTTTTTGACTCCGTTATACACAACACTAATATAATTAGTTGTGCATGACATACGAGGATGAGTTTTTTCTCGTTTCTTTTTGTTCGCATAAATCGACGAATAAAATATTCATATATTCTATATGACCAATACACTAATAGTAGTAATGTTTACAAGGTGCGTGTTACAATCATATCTTATCCGATGACAAACAAAAAAATATAGATATATAAATTTTGTATAGATAAGTCAAATAGGAGAAAAATCAAGTTTGTTTCTTTTTCTCGTATTGATTCTTATTGTATGATTATAGAATAAATAAAAATATGACTGTCAAAGGCCGACCTTTTTCGTATATCACGATGAAAAAGAACTAATCATACATGGTTATTCATTCATATATTAAAAATTAATAGTAACCATTTTCATGATCATTCATCACAGTGTGAAGAATCAATGCTATATGACATTTAGAATGGTTTAAAAAATTATTTCTGAATACACGATCCATTGAAATGAAAGGTAGCAATCATTGCAGATAAATAAAATGTTTGATAATCTTATTTTTCCTGTGTTATACTCGATGATCCTATACATCATGCCCCATGATACATTCGTATTTTAAAAAAAGATAGATCTAATACTTTTTAAATCTTATTCTTGTCTTTCTATTGTTGTTCTTAGAGTATTTGATAGACAATCATACATACTTTATTATTTGTAGTAATTTTTGCTTGAACAAATTTTAAATAGATAATACAGACTATAAGTTTATGTCAAACCTTTTTATAGATATAAATGTTTCACCTGGATAACTCAAACAATCGTGACGGTCATGACAAACTACTAAATATTGCCTCATGTTATTTTGCATCGTACATGATATACCTCCGTTGCAATCAATGCAAATACATGTGACATATACTACACAATAGGCTCTCATGCATAATAACAAAAAAACATTTTGATAAATAACAATTTACACAAATACACTTCACACAACAATGATTACTTTGAGAAAAGCGTCAAGTAACGGACATAATTTTAAGATACTTTTAATATTTTGTATTTCATGACCTAGCAATTTTACTTAAAAAAAATTTAAAATATATACTAATCGATGCATAATTTTGTGCTCTACATTTCGGAAAAAAAAGTTTAGCTCACCATCAAACTTTAGTTTTAAGGTTTAGTTTTTGTTGGTTATATTGAATAATGATATTTAAAAATGAGGAATGCAATTAGTCTCAATAGCAAATAGTGCATAAGAAAAAACGTCGAAAACTAAAGAAAATCATGTCAATTTCATGTGAAAACAAGCTCTTGGGTTTCGAACTTAAATTTTTTTTCTATCAAAAACAGAATTTTTTGTGACATGAAATTGATATGATTTTCTTCAGTTTTTGATGCTCTCTTTTAAGCACTACTACTTGATGTTGAAATTGATTGGATTTGTCATTTTTAGATACCATTATTCACTATAATCAGCAAAAACCAAACTTTAAAATTATAATGTGATGATGAATCAAAAATCTTTTTTTTCAAAACGTAGAACACAAAATTATGCATCAATTAGTACATGTTTTAAATTTTTTAGTAAAATCGCTCGGTCATGAGATGCAAAATATTAAAAGTGTCTTAAAATTATGTCCACCATTTTATTAATAAAAAAATTCAAAAAAAACAATGTTCAGGAATGTTTCTGCATTACCTATTGAATTTTATTTTTAGCATCCTTATCTTTTAAATAAATTAAAAATTTTGCTTTCATTTCGTCATGTCTGAACAAGACTCTATACCATTACGAACATATATATCATTGATATAAGACAACTCTCAGATAAAGGATATTATTATTGTTCAAAGTATCAGTACTTTCATTAATGAAATGATCTCATAGTTAGTAGTGCTATTTTTTAAACCATCAAATATTATGATTCACTGGAAAAAGAATAGTCATACAAGAAAATTCTATCTTCAGTTCGAATCTATTGAGAAAATGTTAAAATTTTAAAAATTCGAATTGCGAAGATCTTATTACATTTTGACTGTAAACATAGGCTAGATGAAAATATATGGATCAACACTAGATCGATAACTATATACACACAAATAATATTTAGTGCGCTATGATTAAAAAAAAAATGTTAATTTTTAAATTTCTGATCATTGAAATTCGTTCTTGCTTTAGATATTCGACGAGACACAATTGATTAAGATCATTTGTTTAAGAAAAATGTCAATAATATTCAGTAATTGAGAAACAGAATCTTTTAGATTGTCAGCCAATATTAAATAATTTATGATAATTGTTTCGAAGAATCATACAATTAAATATTATTTCTATTTACTCATTTATCTATATATGTGTCTCATGAATCTAAAGACGAAAGTCCTTCAACTGTTCAATCGCTTTTGAATCGAGATTATATGCATTATGTAGACTCGAATAAGCTATGAATATCCTGAAAATAGTTCATGTCCTTAGCTGATTGGTATAGAGATACTGCACTTTTACGATATTTTTTTAAATGAATGCTATGGTCCTCTTCAAGAACATCAGAAAAACTAGCTTTCAGATTTCGACTTGAAGCTTTGTATAGAGACAGATCTTAATGAGATTAATTTATTGTAAAAGTTTCAAGCCGTCTGATTTGCTTCTATCTTGAAAGAAGAACATCAAATCTATTGTGGCATAATGTAATCGATGATCTTACAAAATGAACTAGATAATACATAAGGAAGTAATACTAAAGTATTTTTCTGGATAAATTTATACATAAATTATTTGTTCAATAATCTCATCTATTGATAATATGTTTATATATAAATATAAATATATAGTATTACTATGGTCTATTTTATAAATAAAAACAAAAAGACAAAAAAAAAACACAAAACGTATACATATATATATATATAAAGTGTGTTTGTTTTTAAACATCACACAATATTAATTCATTTTGTCCACTACCAATAACCATTGAATTTATACCAAATTCTTGCAATCCAAAAGGAAATTCAAATGATGATACATCATATGTATTTGTTTCAGTTGAATAAATATAATATTTACCGGATGCACTTTTAATAAACCATTGATTAGATCGAAATGGATAAAATAAATCAACAAAATCATCATTTAATTGAATTTGTTTTAATAAAACTAAATGTTCATCACGTAATTCAAAACGTGTATGAACTGATGATGCTGTACGAACAAGTAAACCTAAATTTGATGCTAGATTTGCATCCATATGTGATACCCATTCAGTTTTATCATTAGCTAAACGATCCCAACGTTTTACAGGAGCATTCATAGTATTATTATTATTATTATTATTATTATTGTTATTGGGATATCTCCATAATTCAATACAGATACCAAAAACACAATACGATATATAAAGTGATGAATCATGTAAATAAGATAAACAACGAAAACTAAAATAAAAAGATTTTTATAAATTGGGTAATATGAACTTTGATCGAAAGCAAAAATGTGGAAGGGTTGGCTTGAGCTGTATGAGTGCGAGTCTACGTGCGCGTGAAGAGTAACGGGGGATCGGTAATTTTTTCGACAAGATATTTGTTCACTTTTGATCCGATAGAAAATGTTTCCGACGAGTCAAAAACTATGAGTTAGGATCAAAATGTTGTGCTCTTTTCGAATATGAACTCGTGAATTTTATTTCAGTCTTTTTTCTGTAAGTAGTGAAATAATCTTTTAAAAGTTCAAAAAAATTAGTTTAGATAAAACTCGTTGGTCGATGTTTTCAGTGAACATGTTTGTTTATTTTGATCCGTTTGAAAGCATTTCAGACGAACCAAAGCGACTAGAATTTTGTGTCTATTTTTGTTCGAGAGTAGTGAGAGACTTTTTTGAAAGACTGAAAAAATTATTTTTAATGGCGAGCCGACAAGTTTTTGTTTCGGCTATCATTTAAGTGGTCAGTAAAATAGATGAAATGGCCAGTACTAAAATTACTAATAATTAATTGTAAAACGGTCCGTTTATCAAATATATAAGTAGAAATAGAGAATACAAATTGGTCAGCAAAAAAAAAAATAAATATAAATAAACCAAAGAATCACAGAATAAATAAGAAGAAATTTAAAGAATAACTGAAAAGAAAAATTGAACTATTATATTAGTAAAGCAGATTTAGCCTTTGCTCGTCTGCCTCTTTTTCTTTTCTCACCAATCGACACTGTCTTTACTGTTGCTGGTGGTTTATAATATTTCAAACGAATAGCCATGCTGACAATGTGTTTGCATATATAATTCTTAAAAAAAAGCTGGATAAGTGCATTTCGATGTTTTCCAATGTGAACCATTTTTTCCATTTTCGTACACCAAATATCAAATGATCTTCGATTTGATTAAATGTTGCCCATTTGTTTTTGTTATGCTTATTTAAACCAACTTTTGTAACCGATTGTAACTCACAAGTTGGCATATAATATTTTTTCGAAGAGTCATTTAAAATATAAATCATATCTTTTATTGATTTAGTCCATTAATATGATGAAGTCCATAATTCTAAGGATATTGTTGGTTCTGTAGCAAATATTCTTTCATTAACGAATGATGGATCTTGTTTAGTTGAACAACTATTGATAATATTTGAAGAAATTGTTCAAAATCTTGATAAAACACATGACGTTCTCGAAACGTTCCATCGTCTTTAATTGTTTTGTTAATTGCTTCTACGACGTTGTTTGTACTCAGTGCATACAGTCGTATATCTTCATACCAAGCAACATTTGATTTGAGACATTCATTATCAAATACATCTTTTTTAACCCAACATTTCGATCCTTTTTTTTTCATTAGAGTTCTATTATTTCCATTTATTCCATGATCTTCTTCTACCACCTCTTCTTCTATTATATTGCTTTCATATTGAGAAACTTATACTAGTTTCGTAGTTACAAATACATCAAATTTAAAAAAGTTGAAATATGTTATTTTTATTTGAAAAACACTAAATATTTATACATGGCAATAATAGATAAAAACAACGATCAAGGAAGAAGTCGACAAGCTTCTTTTTCTTTGTTTAAGATAATGAACAATAAGAAGAATTAAAAACAATGATTTTGCTTATTCACAAAATATGTTGGTTTAAATAAAAGTAGATCAGAAGAATGAGAAAGTACATAGAACAACTGATGAAAAAGAAAACAAAAGAGAAGTAAGTTACTCTATAACCATTTCAACTTTTATACTTATCCTTTAATATAATCGGCTATTAATAAATTGTATTTACTGATTTTTAAATCTATTTGCAAACCTAATTAATTAATAACTGACCATTTAAATAATTTATTGATTCATTATTAAATTGACTGATTTTATAATTATTTTCATTTACTGACCATTTCATTTATTTTACTGATCATAAATCATATGTCTTTTTGTTTATCTTATACGTTCCTTTTCGAACATGCTAAAAATTGTCAAAGTCGATCATTTTGTAGAGCGAACATTTCTCTGAAAAATGTGAGCTTCTTTCAACATAAAATGGTTGTCAAATTTTTAAAAATGAGTATTTAGGAAAAAACGAAAATTGAAATGTTTTGTTGAAAGATAAAAAGAATCTTTCAATAGTACAGTTTATATAGTAGTTTCTGATCTACAAGTTAATATATATGAATAAAGATTCCAACACTTTTAATTTCAAATCACAATAGTAAAAATACAACAATGTACGGAAAAATTTTCTTTTCAAACTAATCCTTTTTGATTTCTCAAAGATTATTTTACTATTCGAGAAGAGCACAAAAGTCTGATTTTAACTCATAATTTTCGATTTGTCGGAAATATTTTCTAGCTGATTAAAAATTAAAACAAACATCATTTTTAAAAACTTTCTTATCATCTGTTACAGCAACACCTATACCCATACCTTCAATCATCGAAAAACACATAGTCGCTTTAATGTACTTGGGTTTTTTAATTTTCCTCTCAGTTTTTGGTATTCTTACTTCTGATCTTTTTATTCTCGATATTTTTTACCTTCGACCAAAGTAGAGAAAATATTTTTGTTTTGTTTTTCTTACGGATAATCTTTATGTCGAGCCATATGAATTTGTGTAAATTTATTTGTTTTTGGTTCAAATGAAAGTAAATATCGTTGAAAAAGAATAAAATATATTTCAGCTGATGGACACCATTTTATATCTACTACATCAACATCTTTTATTCCAGTTTGATGATATGGTAATAAAGCAGAAGCTGTTGCTGATGGATTACACATAATAGGTGGTACTAAAAACGAAGAAAAGATAAATAAGAATAGAAATAAATTTTAATAGATGAAAAAACAAACATGTTAATAAATAATCATTAAATTTTTTATCAATATAATGTAATTGTCGTCGATTATCTAACCATAAAATAGATTCATTTTGTTTACTTGTTACAAATTTTTTACAATTTTCAACAGATAATGTTCTATATGACTGCATGAGAGTATTATTTGGTAAAATACAATTATATGAAAATATATTATGTGCATTAATCAGATCATTACAAGAAATATCTTTTGTTTCAATACATATTTCACATCGAACTGATTCAAGACATTGTCGAAGTTGATTCAGATCACGTTCAATTGGTGATAATTGCTAATCGAAATAAACAAACAAACAAACAAAAATAAAAAAAAAATAAAAATTAAATTAATTAATGAACGAATAAAAGTTGAACTCACTTGTTGAGATATTTCACCAACTTTTTGTAAAGCTGCTAATTGTGTTTGTAAAATTGACATTTTAGATTTTTGACTTTCTCTAAAAATATCTACACGATGTGTTAATTCATTTTGTAATTCATCTATTTCATTTGAATAATGTTTATATGTATGGTCAATATCAGTAAGAATATTTTCTTTCCATGTATCAAGTTTTTTACGAGCATCTTCAACAGATTGTTGACAATCAAGTTTTGAAAGTAAATGTGTTAAACAATTTATTTCATCAGATAATGCATATGTTCGAACAATATTTATTTCATTATGTTCAATAACATGCTTAAGACATAAACGTTTCGGACAATGATGACACGTTACAAGTGCTGGTTTAGTACATTCGATTTCATTTTCACATATTGTTGGATTTGGTGAATTACTTGGAGATGAAGGTGGATCTGGTATTGTAGCAGCATTCGACATCTAAAAGAGAAATCATTGAAATCAAAGAAAAAGAAAACTGCATAAGTATTTCTTGAAAATTTATGGTTTATTTCATAGCTATAAGAATATGAGACAGAGATAAGATAAAAATGCGATTAATGTTAGTGTGTAAAACAAAACAAACAAAGAAAAAAAAAGAAATCTATTGAATAAGTAATGAGCAGTCAAAAATTAAAAATTGTTTTTCTTTTTTGTTGCTTTAAGCAATTGATGATGTAAGTACAGCTACACCACGTTCATAATAATCAAATTCATTTAATGACGTATCTGCTGATTCAAGTTCAATTGTAAATAATAATTCACTTCGTGTTGCATTCAAATAAACAGGTAATGTTATCATTGAATTTGTTTGTTTCTTTTCTGTTGAACGTATCCATTTAAATAATGTTAAATTAAGTTCTGTTGATATTGATGATGATAATGAAAGTTTATTTGATCGACATTTTGCACCTTGTAAACGAAGACCACGTATTGCAAATGTACAATCATCTTGAATTTGTTGTTGTTGATCAGTTGAATCTTGTACTATAACTTGTAAAGCAAGTTCTTCAAGTGACCATTGATTTGTTTGTGCAACACATTGACGTGATGCTGTTACATATGCTTCAGGTGTAAATAAACCACCAAGCCAAATAGGACATGACTAAAATAAAAAGTAAAACATAATAAAATTATATATTTTGTTTTCTAATTTTCAATAAATAAAATTTTTACTTTTAATGATTTAAATCCTTGATCAGCAACTAATTTTGATATTGATTCAAGTTGTTTAACTCGATCACTAAAATCTGTTATCCATTGAATAACAGTTAAATTTTTTGGAATTGTATAACGTTTCCATGATTGTGGAATAACACCTAAACAAAAAGTAAATCTTATTGTGTATCGTAAAGAAAAATATCGTAACAATACAAATTATTATTTCGTATATGATAATGACACGTGTTTTTTTTTATACGAAGAACAAAGAGACGAAAAATACGAAGAATCTTAATAAACAAATTACCTTGAATTATGCATATGTTTCATATCTTTTTTTTTTCTACAGTATACATATGAGTAGAGGAGAACGAAAAGAACAATACTCATCCACGCTCTGACTCATAGATGAAGGAAATGTTATGAGCAACGAAAAATATTGACATTTGTACAAAAAAAAAAGAAATATGATGCGCTGCTTCAATTTATCAATCTGATAGAAGAGGAAAACTGTTTGAGCCTACGAAGCATGAATATATGATAGGTTTTCACTTTTCCAAGTCTTGTGGCTTCATCTCCTATGTTTGTCGAACACCAGTTGATAGTAGATAAAATATGGAATGACCTTGTAACAACGCATTATTTTTCGGAAGAAAATGAAAATTAAACAGTAACAGAAAATTTTTACAATGATTAGAGCTTATCGAGGCTGCATGGATCCATCGCCTAAGCCCTCAATATATCTTATAAATTAGCTGATAGCATCATCTTCATTTCAGTAATCGACTGTCTATATTTCCATTTCTCATGCTAGTAATTTCAAACAACAGACACCTATCATAAGAACATCTATTTCGACAATAATTATGTAAATTCAATAAGGAAACGAACAAAAATTAAACTCAAAATTTTCTTTTTATATGCAGTGATTGTAAAAAATAATACTCTATCTTTCTATGATATTCGATTATTTGGTAACCAATATCATAATAAGAAAATTTCAATAAAACCTATTTGTTATGATATATGACAATGACATTAGAACAGATTTGTTTTCAATGTATATCATCTTGACATGCTTTTTGTTTTTTCTACTTTCTTTTCTTTGTTCCTTTTTTTTTTATTGCGTTGTCTATAATACGTAGGATATGAGTGCATTTTTGCTTTGACAGTGACATCCACCCATATATCCACACCTCCATTCACGCACTAGGCATAAGAGAACATGGGAGAAAAATATGAAAAAAGAACATAAAAACAAGTTTTATCGAAATTTGTTTACCTATGATATTAATTGAAAAATGATTAAATATCACAAAACGATAGAGCATTATTTTTACTATCTCTGCATATAAAAACAAAGTTTTCAGAAGCTTTTACTATACGATATTAAAGTGTCACTGTCATTACTTTGGAACTATCCTACGTATATTCTTAATTTTTTGTTTGTTCGTCTGTTTTTTTTACCTTTAATTAAATCACTAATTAATTGTCGATGATAATTTGTTTGTTTCTTTTTTGTTTCACAAACAGCAATAAGATCACGTAAATCTGATTGAACAACACTTAATAATTTTGAACCTGTATTAACTTCTCGTTCAAAAAATCGAAATAATGGATCTTTTATATTTTCTGTTGTACGTCGCATTGTTGTAACTTTTGTTGGTAATAATTTTAACCATGTTAAACATGAATTATGTAATTGTTTCATCCATACTGGTCGACCATCACTTGTATCCGAACGTGGTTTACCTTGTATTGATGTATCAATTGTTGTTTGATCAATAGGAATATTTTCTGTAATATCTTCATCATCATTTGTTATAATTGATGACATTTTAAGTAATTTAGCTAATGTTTCACGTGCACGTGTTGTTAATAAAACAATTTCAGCATTATTTGGTAAACCAAGCCATGATGGTTGTTGTATTAATGTACGTAATGTTTGTTCAATCCATGTTATAAATTGTTCACGTTTAACACCATCAGGCATTGTTATAACAAGTGGTTGTTGTAATTTTTCATCTTGTTCTTCAATAATTAATTTCATATCAGTATTTAATGATGTTAAAGAAAATAATTTTGATAGAAAACCATTTAATAAACGTTGATCAAATGGATTATCAATACGACCACCATAAATACATTGAGAAAGAAGTGTACGTAATGCTTCCCATGGAATTTTATCAATAGGAAGATTTGTACGACCCATAGCAATTAAATCAATCCAAATATCAATTGTATCTAATGCACATTTAAGATCAGCTTCAGTAAATTCATAATGTTTTGACCAACCAAGTGGAACATAACGAAGACGTTCTTGAATAACAGCATGAAACCAAGCAAGAAGAAAATATAGACGTGAACGTTCATTTGGAATTTTATTCATACGTAATGAACTAGAATAAAAAAAATAGAACATAGATTGTGTTAGAAGATTTCTATTCAAAATACAAATGACAATATGTTCAACTAAATCGATCTAAATAGTTGATTAAAAACGTTGTTTTTTTATCTATGATAGTCATTCATTTGATAGAAGTTTGTTCTTCATATTAGAATAACTTTTAATGATTGTCTCAACTAGTGAAGATGATATCATATCTGTTTAGAAAGATAAATTTGTTCGGAAGTTTAATAACATATATCCTCCTATTTCACTCAGAAAAGTCATTTTCTTAAGGCCCCCCTCCCCTCCTTCAGAAATGATTTCCCACTTAGAATGGTCCTTTTGGGCTGACATTTTCGGCGATTACTTATCCTGGTAAGATACACTTCTGTTAAAAATTTTAGCCCTATAGATCGTACTAGACCAGATTTCCAGCTGATTCATAGGTAATTTTTGGCCTTCAGTAGAATCGATATAACTTCGTCGCGACACAAGATATAGAACTCAGAGTGGTTTCAAATTAAAGCTAATGTCAGTATGCAGCTTTTCAACAACTAGAATTTTTAAATTCTCTATTGTTCATTTTTTATCAGTATTTTAGTAGACATGTCTTAAAAGAAGCATAAAAACCGGTGATCCGACAATAGTAAAGTCCACTTTTCTCAGCCCAGGAATCGATGTTAAAAAAACTGATTGATCAAAAGTTTACTCTTATTAAGACCTTTAAAACTAAAGAAAAAAATATTGGTTACAGCTCGAGAAATGAGAGAAGAGTTTCAATTTTTCTGATTGGAAACTATGTTCTGAGAAAAACGCTAAAGAAGTTTTAGAAGTGGATTTTTTCATTCAAATCCAGGACAAATCATGTTACAATGGTATATTCCACTGGACGACCGTCTTAGAGGACGGCAGCTAACGCCGTCTGACATGCTGATTAGTATATAAAAATGTTCTATTCAATGATAATACCAGTGGGAACATAATTTTTCTGAAACTGACAACCTTGGAAAACCATGAAATTTCCTCCAAATACATGGTAGTAGATTTAAAATTTCATGTGATAAGTCTTTGAAAATCTGATTATTTTCCAAAAAAACAATATATATATTCTGAAAGAGGAAGCTTCGCTGCATCTTCCTGTAATAAAAACTCAACTTCGATATTTTCCCGAAAAAACTCGATTTTCTGAGGGGTGCCCTCCTTAAAAATATATAACACATTTTAATTATATTAAAAAAAAGAGTCAAATATGACCTCCCATTGGATTCCATTCTTTGTCTTATCTCGCTTCTTTTCATTTCATGCTAAAAGGAATCCTAAGATTTATGGGAATCAACAAAGGCTCGATAGTCTTCGAAACTCTTTCTATATTCTGTTCGTATTTTTTTACTCATAACTTCTGATGAAATAATTCTAAATAGAATTTTACTCAAAACAAAATAAAAAAAATAATATTCTTATCATTGAAAAATTCATATTCAAATAAAATTAACTTACGGTATTGTTGAAAATGTTCTTAATAAATTAGCTTTAATACCCGGTGCTGGTTCATAAACAAAAATTCTTCCCATACGTAATAAATTAGATGGTAATTTTGGATGAATTTCCATTGATAAAAATAAACGAAATTGATTATGTGCTGGCATAGCATGAAGACGTTTTTCTAATGTAATTAACCATTGTGGTGCTAAATGTACATTTTTTAATAAGACCCAACGTCCTTGTCGTGCACTAGATGCAATAGCATTTTCAGCTTGATTAAATCCTTCAGCTGAACCAATAGCAATTGATATTAATTGTTGATTTGTTTGCGTAGCTAAATCTTCAACACGTGAACTAGCATCATAACCTGGTACAGAACACATTAATATTGGTTTATTTGAAACAATTTCATTTTCAACAATAGGACCAAGATCAAGTACTTGATCAGCAGCTGCTAAAAATCCTTCACCAAATACATTTGATACAAATATACGTGCAGCTGATAAGAAACGATCAGGACGAAATACTTGTATCATTAATAATTGATGAAATATTTTACCAATTGATGTTAATGGTGTTAATTCAGACCATAAATGTGGTACATTTAATTCAGGATTAATTTCTTCAATCCATTTAGGAAAATCTGGATTTGATAAAACTTGTGATTGAAGATTTTTAAATGCAGGTAATTTAGATAATTTAATCATTGAATCTGTTTGTTGTTGTGTTAAACCTTCAATTGTTATTTGATCATGTTTATTTGTTGTTGCTGTTGTTGTTGTTGTTGTTGTTGTTGTTGTTGTACTACTACCACGTACTAATATATCATATTCTTCATCATAATTTGGTTCCGTATTTAATGATTTTAAATAAATTCGTACTAATAATAAACCAAGTACAATACGATCTTCATGTAACATACCAAGTGCAATACGTGTATAAATTATTTGAAATAAATCATTTGTTATTATTTGTAAACGTTCTAATGGATCTGTTTTATTTAATAAATGTTTATTATTTGTTAATGTAGCATTAAATATTTCAAAAAAAAATTGTAATGAATATTGATAAAGAAAATGAACTTGATTTAATGATTCCATAGTAAAATAAATTGATGAACATGCAACTGATAATGTATAATATTGTTTTGATACATTTTCAATTTCTTTCATTATTTGATCAGTTTCTTGAACTTTTTTTGTTATATCAAATGCTTCACGTTTTAATGTTTCAAGACGTGATATAATTGTATCATCATCTAATATACGACCTTTAACATTATTTAATGATTCTAATAAATCTTTTTCTAAATGTCTTAAACGTTGTTGAAATTCACCTTGTAATTTTAATAAATCACGACGTTTTTCATCAACATCAGGTCGTTCAACTTTTAATACTTGTGATAAACATTGAGATTGTAATGATGCACGTGTTACAGTAAAATTAACAAATGTTACACGTGAACATATATCTGGTGGAAAATCAACTGATGGATCACGTGTAAAAAGAAAAATACTAAATGCTGGTGATAAATCAATATCTTGATCACCAATTGTTATTAATGTACGACCACCTGTACGACGTACTTCACGATTAAGTACAGGATTTAATATTGGATCATAACGTTCAACATCTTGAACAACTAATGGATTACCAAAACGAAGTGCTGATTCAAGATTTTTTCGAAATGAATCATCAAGAAAACTATAAAGAAATAATCACATAAAATCAGTAAGAAGTTGTAAATTACAAAGGTAATATGTTATATATATTAACTATAGTAGAATAAAAAAAAAACAAAAGAATCAACTCTAAGAATGTAGATGATATTTTCTATGTATTATGCCAAATAATCGTCAAGGTTTTCGATTGTTTTTGAAGATAAGACAGACTGAAAATTCGATAGAAAATGTAAATATTTTTGCAAAATGTCTTCGTTCATTTTTCTGATAGAGATCAAATAGAAGATACTAAAAAATCATTCACTTTCTATAATATTTTATCTAAGAAAAAGTCTCTTTATATAAATATCTGTCCGTAACAGAGATAAAACCGTTAAAATTTTCTTTCAGTTACAATTCTCCATGGAACTGTAAAAAAGAAAAAAACTTCTTCATTTACGAGAAGGGAAAGCCTGTGCCATCTTATTCTTAATTACAAGAACACTGGGTACCATTATTTACATAGTTCAAAAAAATATGGTATGATTAAAGAAGTAATGTTTGTAATTCGATACTCTATTATTTCAGGATATATTAACTTGTATAGGGTAGTGGAAAAAATATAACAATAATGTAGTTTTCTAAAATGGTAAGTAATAAGCTCAAATTCAAATAGTGATTTTAATAGCTGATGAAGTTTCCTATCTAAAACAGCACAAAACTCTGAACAAAACGAGAGATTGCTACATTTTCTATGACCTTATCTTAAAAAGTTAAAAGTATTACCAAAACCTGAAAAGATGATTTTTGATAAATTTGGTTTTTTTGTAATACTTTTAACTTTTTAAAGGAAGGTCGTAGAAAATACGATGATTGCTCATTTTGTTCAATGACTTTGTGTCTTTTAAAATGGCATTGTTAAAAAAAAAAAGCTTCCGATAGCTGAAAATTATCGTATTCAGCTTTTAGAAATCTTGTCATCATATTTCATCTATGAAATCTTGCTATAGAATGTATTAGATAGAACATATTATTGACTATGAAACAAAAAAAAAACAATGAGAGTTTAAGAATTTTCAGATCTCATTTTAAACTTGATTATCATGGTAGAACGAAATTACAATAAAACATACGATTATTTTTCTTATTTATGATTTTTTTTTTTTTTTTTGTTCATTCAATAATAAAATTTACCTTGTTTTTGTAATTTTTTTATCTTGATAAGCATTTACAATAAATTCAGCTGCTTGTCCACTAGGATCAATAATTAATGGAAAACGATTAAAACGTTTAAGCATAATAGCATTTTCTGTACATAAATCATCAACAGGTAATGAATTAGCTTGCCATCTTAAACGTTCATCAGCATTTGATAAATATTCAACACGTGCTAATTGATGATGAAAATTAATTTTCTTTTGTTCAATATGATTTGCCCATGTTTTAAATAATTGTTGTCGTGTTATTTGATCATAATAACCAGCATATGCCATAAATGCTGAACATAATAAAACATCACCAACCATAGTTGATATTTGTGTTAAAAATGATTGACTTGTTAATTCCCAACGTTGTTGTTCAGCAAATAATGATTTAAGTAAAGCAACTGAACGTTGAACTTTTGATTCAACATTAACTAAATCAGTTTTAATAGCTTGTGCTTGTGCAATTAAATCAGCATATTCTAATTTATATTGTGTTATTGATTTTTCTAAATTATCAATTAATTTAATTAATCCATCAGCTTTAACACGATTTATATTAGCATCATCTTCTAATTGTTGTAATTTATTTCTTAATGGTTCAACTTGATGTAACATATCAGCATAATCAAGTTGTGCACGTGCCCATTTAACCATAGGACCACATGCTTGTGATGCACGATTAACTTTTTCATATGTAAAATCAGGATTTGATACATAACGTTGACGCATTTTTTCTCTAACATCTTCTTGAACATTTTCTGTTTTAAATTGTATTATTGTATTTATAAAATCATCTTTCATAATAACACCACGTATTGTTTTCCAATCAGTTGTTTCTTGATCAAGTAATAAACAAATAGCTTCTAATGCTAATTTAACTAATGGTGGTGGATTTGGTAATGTACGTATTTCAACTAAATGTTGACGTTTTATACCTTTAACAGCTTGTTGTGCTTCAATAACAGCTGGTTCAACATTTTCTAATTGACTTGTTACTTGTTGTTTATTTATAGCAATTTCTTTTAATTGTTCTTGTAAACGTGTTTGTAATTCTTGACTTGTTATTTTTTGTTTTTCAGCTTCTTGTTGATCTTTAATCATTTCTTTTAATTTTAAATTAGCAGCTGTATTTTTTTGTTCTAATTCATTACGTTTAATAGCTAAACTTTTTTGTAATTCTTCAACATCTTTCATTGTTTCTTTTATTTTATCAAGACCTTTATTTAAATGTAATTGTTCATCTTCTAATCCAGCACGTTTTTCATGATAAAGTTTAACAAAATGATTTATAAAATCAACATAATGACGTGGTGTTATAAAAACTGTACGTGAACCTTTTTTTTGTAATTTTAAATTAACTTGTTGTAATGTTTGATGAACATAAACAAATGATTGAATAACAGATTCACGATCATTTGGTGTACTAAAAAAACAAAAAAAAATTGTCTTTCAAAAATAATTTTTTGTGTTTTTTTTTTTTTTTTGTTCTTACCTATTTGATGATGAAGCTGATTCTAAATCAATACTATTTGTAAATTCTTTTCCAACTTGATGAAGTGCTTGTAATGACCAATCACCCATCCAATTTAAAACACAACGATTAAATAAAGCTGGTGATGTTGCAGCACGATCTTTTAAACCTTCTGATGATGGATTCATTGTAAAAACAACATGTAAATTTTTAATAACTTCATTTGTAAACCATTTATATAATTCTTCAGGTGAATTTAACATTAAACCATCACGTTGTGCACCTTCTTTACATTGTGTCATTAATGTTGTATATTCATCACCTTCAAATAATCCTGGTACTTCACCATTTGCTAATAATGTATTCATACGTTCAAGAAATGATGAATCTAACATATTTGATTCATCTAATATAAATGCTATTTTTTCTCCTTTACAACCACTACGTCTTAAAACATTACGTAAATCTTCATCAAAATCTTGTGATGTATATTTATTATGAACTTTTATTTGAAATACATGTAAACCATTTATCCATGCAACAAATCTTGATAATGTTGTTTTACCACTACCACTAACACCAATTAATAAAACATGTCCTTGTGGTTGACGAAAAACACGATCAATACGTAAAACATGATCAAGTACTTCATTAAATAAAACTAATTGTACATCAAGTTCTTCTTCATAAAAAATTTTTAAACGTGCACGTACATATTCACGTAATTTTTCTTGTTCAATTGGTAAATAATCTTTTGATAACCAATTTGAATATAATATTGGTCGTTGTAAAGCTGTTAAATGATCTATATTTGGAAAATGTTTACGTCCTATAGAATCAATATGTTCTTCTGTCCATTGTCGTTCATCATCACCAACAAGACGATCTTGAAATAA